TTTAATCTATATATTATTAGAAAACAAATGAGATAAAACTATATTTTCGAGGTGGTTGTGGTACAATGCACAATTTAAGTAATGTCTTCAATGTCTTTCTTGAATAAAAGATATAAAGGATTATTCCTTTTTTTTGTTTTTTTTGCCTTTTTAGCAAAAAATGGAATATAATGACCATGGCTAATAGTGTCTTGAAATTGCTGATAAAAAGATAATGTCTTGTCCTTATTATCCATTAGTTCGAGGTAAGGCAATAGATCTAACATAGTATCTCGCATAATTTTTGTCTTAACTAAATTAATAAAGTTAATTCTTAATTGCACTATATGATTAAATATAAAAAAGAAATTGAATTGATTTTTCAGATTTAATAGTCCTTCTTAAATTTTAATATTTAAGTTCAGTTAATTAGGAATTCAATTTTCACCAACTATTTAAAAATTTCTTCTTCTCCCATAATTTCATATGTTAAAAAAAAACATTAAAAAAATTAATAACCGAATAAAATATAAATAGAAATATAATGTATGCATGACATTTTTTTTTAGTACTAAGTGACAAGAACAAGAACATAAGCAGTGGAGTAAAATATGTTAGTTAACATAAAAATTTGAAGTGGAAGGATGCTAACAAACAAATACTATTTAAAAAAATTCAGTGGCCTAATTAGAAATTTTTTTAATTTTTTCTATTGATGAATTTAAACTAAATGTAAATATAAGATTTATTCTTAATTCTAATGATCTTGATTTAAATTAGTCAAAAATAAGTTCTCCTATTTTTTTAAACTAAAATTATGCTTCTTAATTTCATATTTATCTCTTCAATAAGCTTCCTTTTTTTTTATCTGAAGTTATATTAGATTAGAAATTAGAAATTTGATTCTATTTGTATGTTGATTTTACAAATGTTTTCTAACCCTTGAAATCAGGAGTCAGAACCCTTAATACAATTGAACCATGAAGCTTAAAGTGTTCAATTTCAAGAGTCAGCATCTCACATTAGGGTGCAGAACTTTAAAGTCAACTAAACTGTTGAATGTGCACGTGTGTTCGTCTCCCACATTCAGGTTCTAATCCCTTGGTATAGAACTTTTACTTCGTATTTGGATTGAGAGGAAAAAGATAAAATGAAGTTATATTCTTTTTTTTTTTTCGTTTTCCTTCACTCTTTTTATTTAAATAAATAATTAAATTAAAAAAATAAAAATAATTTTCCCTTTCTTTTTTTCTAATTTTTTTAAAAATTAAATAAAATTCTTTTTTATTTCCCTTATTTCCATTCCCCTCAACTCAAATATAATATTAATTGAGTTTTCAAAGTAAAAAACAAATCCTTCCAATTGGGCTATAACAATCACAAACCAGTGATTGAGTGACTTTGAGGTATAAAAGGAGATATGGAGTCACATCAGAAGCCAACTCTTGAGCACTTCAACGTGAAAAGAAAAGAGATTAAAAAGCATTCACCATTCTTCTTCTTGAAACTAACTAGAGTGTTTGAGCTTTATGTGATCATTCTTATTCTCTTGATCTTTTTTATTATCGCAAGTGAAAAAAGAACTGGGAAAATTTTGTTAGATCCAGAAAATTATCCTTAAAGTATAAAAATAGTTAAAAGATTTGTAACAAAGAAATTGAATTATTCAATAGTACCCACAAGCTATTAAAAGAGCGTTTGGATGATTTGTTGGATCTATAAAACTTCACCTTGAGGAATATGAAGGATTCGAAATAGATTGTAACAAGGGACTAGGATTGTTGAAGGTGGATAGAGCCAACAAAATTATTACAAAGGAAGAGGTTTTAAATAAAAACAAACTCTCACGTAGGTGGTGTAAGAAATACGCTAGGCACAACTTGCGAACAATCAAAACCATTATAAATCTTTTTCTTTGGTCTTTCTCTTCCCTTAACTTTTAATTTTTGTAATTTATTTTGTTGAGATTCAATTATTTGTGCTTGCTCATTGATTTTTTTTTTTAAATGCATGAATTTTTCAAAAATCCAATTTAACCCCTCTTAGTTTTCTATCACCTTGGGCAACAACATTTTTAGGGGGTGAAATGAAACTTTGATCAAGACAATAGGTTTGTGCATCAATTGAAAAGTTGATTTGAGGAAATAATAAAAAAGAAAATTATTTTACATATCGTATGTTTATCTTTGATGATAAATAACATATTGATAAGGTACTATAAATGTCATCTATTAGAGGACAAAATCAACATATATTGAATAGAAGGACACTAATAAAAAAAAAAAGACAAATAAAGGATATTAATGAACAATTTTTCATTTAATTCATCTTCATTTTTCCTCATCTTATGTATGCGTTATCTGTATTTTCCTTTTATTTTCCATCATCATTTAAAGTAATCTTTAATAATAATAATAATAATAATAATAATAAAAAAACTAGAAAAGAGCTAAAATGGTATAGCATAAACAATTTAAAAATGAAAATGATACAAAAAATTGATAGACCAAA